GCTTGATTGCTTGGTGTTTGAATTTGGGAATTTCCCTGATGCAGTTGCATCTACACGGCATCGTGGCATTACCCCTCCAAGCAAACGCACCTCCATGATCACCAACTCCATCACCCACACGCCCAAGCCACTCGAGTCACCCACACCAGGTGCACTTCAGCATGACAACAGCATCAACATCCCCAGCATTGCATGCAGCACCAGCGTCACCAGCCCTTGCTGTAGACTTTTTCTCCAACCCCCGTGTTCACCTACCGATGGCTGCGCGTTTTTACGCAGGCTGTACATGCATCACACACACACACAACCACACAGGCGCACACCGACACGTGTGTCATGCACGAGCCCAGCATCACACACACACACACAGTGACTAAACCTTGCCATCTATCATCTATCAGCAAAAGCATATTAAGCCGTTGCCAGCCTTTTTCCAGCATTTGGCCTCATCAGCACTGCCGGAATCCCAGCTGCCATCAGCACACAACCGTTGCCTACATGTGCAACATCATCATCATCATCATCATCATCATCATCATCATCATCATCATCATCATCATCATCATAATCATCATCATCAAGAAGAAGAAGAAGAAGAAGAATTGAACAACAAGAACAGGAACAACAAACAACAAACAACACGCAACACACAACACACACACACACACACGCACACACGCACACTCGACACACAACACACACACACACACACACACACACAACACACGCAACACACACACACACACACAACACACACACACACACACACACACACACGCACACGCACACGCACACGCACACGCACACGCACACGCACACGCACACGCACACTCAACACGGCACACAACACACAACCCACCACCACCACCACCACCACCGCCACCGCCACCGTCACCGCCACCGCCACCGCTACCGCCACCGCCACCGCCACCAACAACAACAACAACAACAGCAACAACATCACTAGCTTCACCAGCACCATCAGCATCGTCCGCGACGCCCAAGCGCATCGACATCCAAACAAGCAAACAGGTCAATGGAAGCAGGTCAAATACAAACAATGCATGTGATGCAAAGGACGCGGGGTGATGCATCACTCTCGAGTCATGTTGGTGATGCTGGTACTGCTGGCGATGTTGCCAAAAGAGCTGATGCGGGTGATGCAGCTGATGCTCGCAATGTTGGCGATGTTAGTTTCTTTGGACTGGGAACGAAGAACTGCTCCAAGTGTCAGGTTGATCATCCGCTCCAGGCATCCGGCAACCACAGACTTTAGCTGCAGCTCTTGCCTAGGCGATGCCACGACAAACACTTGTTCACACATTCTGGGTCAAAACCAATGGTACCATTTTGGGGTAGGTGCACCACCCATTTTAGAACCTATTTTAGCGGGAATTGGGATGTTCACTGGTACTGGGGGACGACCCCTGGTGACATTGTGGCAAGACAGCAGAAATTCCCCACTCAAACTGGCTTCCAGCATGGTTGCGCTTCTCGTAGCCAGTCTTCCGCCAGCCCGTCGGTGAACAGGTGCTGCATGCTCTTGACCTGTTTCCCAACACCGGTGCAACGGGCACTCTGGACCCATCAGTTTCGTGTGAGCAATTTCCGACGCACGGCTCTGGGCTCCGGACGGCTTCTCGTACAAGTGCTCCACACTGTAAGACCTCAAGCAACTCACCAAATCCTGTTGATTTGGTGTTCTACCAACATGGCTACACAGGCTTAATGGGTCTGTCATTTTGTTCGGGGTACACGATGGTGGTTGTAAAGGGAACCAACTCGCCACAGCCGTGAGGTGAAACTTCAGTCACCGAGTCGCTTCGCCGATCTTCATCAACACGCACACATTCTCCTCGTTGAGGATGGAATTGTGCCCGTAGATGAAGTCCTGGTCATTCGGCTTTGACCTTTTGATCTCGGATGAATCGCAAGATATATTGCAGCCAAGTTCCAAGGCAGTTTCAAATGCTGCGTGGCACTGTGAGGGTAGCAAGTGCGTCAGATCCGTGCCGGTACTTTCCTTAGACCAAGAAGAAATCGAATCTGCGCAAGTATCAAGGCCACGCTCATGTCGGATCTTGATCTTACTCTCCTGTTACCCCCATGCCTCAACATGTCTTAGCAGTTGGCTTCCTTTTGGTTCCCAACTGCCAAAAGGACCCCCAGGATTTTGAGAACCCCCGCTCCCCGGAATTGGGCTAGTGCTAGGCTTGTACACCGGACGGGAGGCTTCCGGATCCAAGGCTGGACCCGCCTTCACAGGTTTGTGGACCCGCGTGAGCGACGCTCAATATTAGTTGTGCCCCCAAAAGAGAACATGGCCCCCCAGTTGGTGGGGGAAATTTCCATGAATTCCCCCACGCCCCTCCCAAAAAAAAACATACACTACCAGAATTGTTGAGCGTGAACATGGTCCCGGCTTCCCTGTGGAACCAACCAAGGCTACAAACCAACTACTCCAGCGGCACAGAGTTGAACCCTTTGGTTTTTGCTTTTAACCAAGAGTGCTACCATTGTCCTTTGGGGTAGCCCCCTGCCCACTTCCATGCACAGGTCGATGGTTGTCTGCATGTTGTGGGTTGTTGAACCCCAAAGCCAAAAAGAAAAAAGACCTCAACTTCACTCTGACAATGGTGGTTTCAAGAGAAACCAGTCCCCTGGGTCCTTTTGAGACCCTCTGAAGCTGAAACCGAAACCGCAAACACCAACCTGAGGCCTCCGCGTAGGCGGAGTTGAACGCGGCGGCGAAGAAATCGCAGCGCCGGGGACCTTCGGCGAGAATCACCTGAGCCACACACGTCGAAAGCCATGCTGTGGCCGCTTGAAATCCCAGTTTCGCCATATGGCCATGGGTCAAAATCCCGTACCCCCAATGAACATCCCAATCCCCACTCAAATAGACTAAAATGGATAGTGCACCTATCCCAAAATGGTACCATTGGTCTTGACAACCACAGCCATATGTGTGTGTTTCTCCTGCCATGCAACTCGTTGCAGGACGGCTGCAGACCAAGCAAGATGCTTCGGCGCTTCGCCTCATACGGTTCTTTGTTGGGCGCAGATCCGGTTTCCGAACATCGGCCAGGTTTTGTTTGCAACTGGCGTGGTCTGGTTTCGGGGGTATCCACGTTTTGGGCGTTTGGGTCAAAGTAAACCAAACGAAGACGGCCAAAACCTGTTGGGTGCACGTCCAAAAGACATGGTTCCCGTGGCATAGATTGCTTGAAAGCTGCTTTGAGGTGAGAAACTGACGGTAGTGTTGGCTGTTGGTTCGAGGGGACAGTCCGCAAAAGTCCCACAACGAAAGGTTCAGACAATCTACAGGGGTTCCCTATGTTTCCCATTAAATATCCCACCAAGACAACTCACTTTAACAGGCACCAAAAGGGGAAATATAGGGACCCCTGATCTAGTTGGGTTGCTAGAAAAGGGAAAGCCACCGATATTTGGGGCTCCCCGATTGTTTTTAAACCCAACCATATTTGCAGGGCGCCACCCAAAGACTTGTTAGAACAACTCCCAAATTGTGAGGTTCCTCAATAATCAACAGGGCATGGAACTCAACCTTCGGGGCTTTCCGCATATTTCCGCATGGAAATCCGGCAACAGCCAATTCCATGTGCAGACAAATCCCGAAAATGTGGGAGCAAGGAAGCTGACACTCCAGCAAACCATCGTACCCTTTTGGGGTTGTTTGAAAAGGCCGGGTCGAATTGAGTTCGGACCAACTCAGTGGACATCAGAAATACTTGGTCGGATTTACTGTGGATGGAGAAGTCCAGCACCACCTGCGAAGATGGCCCGAAGTGGCTTTGTCCATCCGCATAGGTCCTTTCTCAACCTCCGAAGGGTGTTCCAAGAACCAACCTTCCGAGCGATTGGACCAAGCAAGCTGCACAATCTGGCCGAGCAGCCCTGTGAAGATGGTAAGTCTTGTCGCCTAGCCACACCTGCCGCACAATTGTCCCCAATTGAAATTCCTCACCGGAAACCACACCCGAAAACAACTGCGGCTTTGATCCTTTTACCTTTTACCGTATCGCCTTCCAATCTGCGAAGCGACTGGACGCCCAGTCGAAGTATGGAGGTGCTTCAGGTCCGCAATGCACATCCTGGCGGCACAAAATCGGATCGGCTGCCCTTCCGCTGCGGGCCTTTTCCAGAAAAGGGGCGCAACTCCTTTTTGCTGTTCCAACTCCGAAATTTTCCAACTCCGAAATTCCTTCCAAAGGAGAAGGGGGTTTTCCCTCCAACTCCCACATGTAGAGGCTCCCTTTGGAGTTTTCCGCTCCAGCTCCAAAGGCCCGATCCAACCCCCACCCTCCCGGAGTTTTCCTGAAAGCCACTCCAAGCCGATTTCGCTTTGGGCCCATCGACCCCGCAGCTTCTCAGCTTAAGAAACTTTTCTGGGTGAATTGTAATATGTCACCAACCTGGAATCAGGTGGTTGGGGGGCTCTTCCCCACATAAACCACCATTTGGAGTGAATTCGGTCGTGTGAGGTCGTTGTCATTCACCCAGAGGAAATGCCAACCACCGGAGGTCGGAAGCCCCAACAGGCGTCCTGCAGGAAAGCCATCGGAGCGCGCACTCCGCTCCGCGCTCGAGGGGAGACGGCCACGGATGGACGGGTGCAGGGGTGGGGTGGGGGGTGGGGTCGGGGGTGAAGGTTTGGAGGTGCTCCAGTATTTCGGGATCAGTGGTTGATTCCAGCAAACAAAGACTCTTTTGGTTTGCCTTTAAGTCAAAGAAGAGGTCCTGCTAGGGTTGCTCCGGCACAAGGGTAGAAGTGTTGGGCCTGGAAAAGGAAAACACAAGGGCTCTAATCTCAATTTCTATCCTTGTGGTGGAGTCATTGTGTTCAGGTTCGGAGCACCCCTGCCTCGCTCTTCAAAAAGCCCCCCGGGTTTCCCTCATCACCTTTTAAGATGCCAATAGAGTGTCAAAAGCTCCAAAAACTAAACGTTTTAGGGACTGAGTTCACTTCCGAGTTCCGCCTCTAGCAGCAGTTCCCTGATCTGCTCCTGGCCAGAGTCCAAGCGCCTGGCTAGCAGAAGGCCAGGCTCCGGAGGGGCAGGGGGCGTGGGGCAAGCAACAGTGGTTAGAAGAAAGAAAAAAAACGTGTGTTGCAATCCACCTGCCTGGCTTTTTGACCATCAACCACTAGGGCAAGGGTTGCAATCCCTACTTGCTAGGCTCACAACTCTTCAACAGTGGTTCCCTCACCAAAGTGACACCCCCTTAAGAATAAGTCTTTGTTTGGTTTTGCGAAGGGAAACCAAGGAGAACAATTCAACCATCCCCAACCTTGTCGACTTCAAGCTTCACCCTTTCGGCAAATGGAAGATCTGAATACCCCAGGCATGCTTCCCGGAAGCCGTTCCGAAACAAAAGTAGCCCTCCAAAGGGGGGTGTTTGTGCACCGAACCGCTCATCCAGACGGAAGTCTTCTTTTTCAAAGGGGTCTTGGGGTGTGCAGACATTCGGCCCCTGGCAAGAAACCAAACAAACACCAAATTTGCCGCCTTTGGGTTTTGCTTCTTATCTTTGGAGCGCCAAAGCCACAGCGACCCCGGGGGTTTGCAGGATGGTTGATGTCCCCAAGATGGCCTTTATCTTCCGTTCAACAGATTGGACGCCTGGAGGGTCCGTCTAGGCGCTGTCACCCATCCGTCCGCGCCTGGCCAGAGACGTCAGCAGGGGCTTCACCAGCCTCTGGCCCACAGCTTCCGCGGCAGCCGCCGTGTCGATCGACGTGAGGCTGGCCCACCAGGGCAGAAAGGGCCAAGCCAGGACCCGAGCCTCCAAGACGCGGACCCGTCCCAGGTAGGCCGCGGTGTTGTTGGTACCCCTTCGCCATTGGGCTTTTGATGTTTTAAGGGTCCGTCGATTGGCTACTGTGCCAGGAAATAGAAAGGCAGTTCGGTGAGCTTGGGGTGTGGAACAGTTGGGGGGGGGGGGGATTTTGTGTGCCTGCCTTTGGGGAACATGGTGGTTCGTTCATCCCTTGCTAAACAATTCAAACTCTTGGTGGGATGCGGTGGGATACGTTATGAACCCCTTTAAACGTTAAACAGCCAAAGGATGTCGTTGGGAACCATCAAGGGCAGTATTCAAATAGTCTCTAAGTGTCTGTAAGAACGGGGGATTCACCGGGCGGGTTTCAGGAGGCAAAGCTTTCGGCCTGCCAAGCCTGGGTGGCAGGCAAGATGAAAAACTCGAAGTTGGACTCTGACGGGGACATCTCATTTCTCTCAAGTGGTTCCTCCTGTTCCTTTCTTTTTTTCGGGAGCCCTTTTGCTAAAGGGAAACCAGATGGAAAAACACGCTGGGTTGATGCCAGAGCCAGTTGGACCAGTTTTGACACTACCCAGAACTTGAAACACGCTGTCAGCGAATGCCAGTGGCTTTAGCCTGGATTTCCACTCCCAGTACAAGCTTGGGGATGTGTCCTTGGGTTGGTACCAGTTTTGTGGGAGGCTTCAAAATAAAACTAAATAGCAAACACCAACCAAGTTGGTAAGTGGTTGGTAACCTGGCCAGGAGTTCACCTTAATCTTGGTGGAACCCAAGCGGCGAGCCACTTACTCACTTGGCTGCTCATTGGAAATCAAAAGCGTTTCGGTACTGAATTAACGGATCCCTCAAAGGGACCGGCAATGGATGGTTCAGTTTCGGGTGATGCCCTCAAGAAGCAGCAAGTTGTGGGGGGTCTTTCTTTGATTGCTATTTGTTTGGGTGAATTTCCTGGGAAAAATGTAGACCACCCACTTTTGGGTCCAAATCCCTTTAACCTGCGCTCCCATTGGAGAAGGTGCCTTGCACCACTGAGGTTCTGGCCTGCTCGGGCCACTCCGGCAGATGCTCCAGGCCTGGGACAAGGTCAAGTCTCATGCAGCGGCCCAGGCCACAAAACCCTTGGCGGAGAACTTGCTTCGGCCAGCACCGCTCATTACTTGAGATACCCTCCCACCAGCTAGCATGGGTTTGTGCACAGAATCCTGTGGAAAGACTACGTTCCTCATGGAAAAGGCCTTTGTGCACTTCCATGTTAGTTGGTGGGAGGGTAATAGTTCTAACTTCTAGCGACAGAGGGACTTACAACACCATGGGGGGCTTGGGGGAACCAACAAATCAAACCTTGACTTCACATGTTCGCGCCTGCTGCGCCGGTTGCTCCCACCAAAGCATCGCGCACCTCTTCATCCTAGCCGAGCCGAATCCACCAGAAGGAAACCATCAAGGGAAAGGGGCCCCTTGTTTCGACGAGCCATGCCCACATCAATTTGCTGGTTGTTTGAGGCAACTCTTTCAAGCAGGGGAAACCCCGTAAACATCAAGTGCACAAATATGATCGATGCTGACTCAAGTCGATCAGGTCACTGTTTTATGCATAGCGGCTACCTGTTATTCGGAATGACTCAAGGGCCTTGTTGAGCCCACAAAGGCAAAGCAAATAACATGCCTTGGTGAGACATCATGTTGAATCCACATGGTTTAACAAGGTCCCTTTGGTAGACAGCAGCAGCAAAAAGCTGTCCGGTAGCTCGCGTGGTCATGGGTTCCCCTTCTGAGAGCTCGATGACCATCCCCAGTAACCCCAAGTAACTCAGCTCCAAAAAGTCAACTTTTTTCTGATCGAAAAGGAAAATAAAGGAACGCCACAAATGCACAAAGTTGGAAGAGTGCTTTGACCGCACAGCTTCCCCATCCTCCGGACTCAGACACAGCCCGTCGCACAAGAGCAGCACGCTCAGCGCGTCCAAGACCTTCAGGGAAGGGCATGAACGCAGCTTTCCAGCGAAGCACCGCTCTTTCTCTGGGTGTCCAAGCACCCCCAAGGGTCTTCAATGGGATACGCAGCCATCTTAAGCCTTTGGGTCACGGTGGTTTGGGGGTAGTGGAAACCAGGGTTGGGCAACAGAAGCTCCTGTTCTTCCCCCTTTTCTTTCGGGCGCTGGTCTGGACGTTTAATCAGATTGTGGCAAACACTGGTATGGACCCGTACGGCACTTTTGGTAGCTTACCATCATAGAGCCTTACCCACCAATCCCAAGCAAGAACCGTGTTATTAATTTTGCCACGTGACATATATGAAGCTGTGGAATTCCATTTCGGCCTGGCCATACTGAAGGCTTAATTGATGGCTAGTTAACCAAGAAACCAGGGGCTCATACCAGGAGATCATATGTGAGTCTCTCTATATATATATATATATTATTTTGTTTATCTATACGTATTTATTGAGTTCTGTTTCAATTATGTATTCTGCTATTTGCTTGTATAATGTGTGCCGCTGCCAAAAAAATACTTGTTCACCCAAGAAGACAAAAATAAATTTAGTGAGTCCCTTGGTTGGTGGGAAACTGATGTGAGTCCTCCTTCTCGTCCCGTCGGAACGAGATGTAGGCGGGTAATTTTGACCAAGCCTCATATACGAGCAGGGCATTGCGGCAACCAGGCGTGGAACCACCAAAATTGTTCCCAAGAAGGTGGATTGCGTGCTTCTCCTACGGAAGCTGAGATCTGGCAAACTCCCCCCGCCCCCCCCTTATTGGCGATGGTTCCATCCCAAGCCTTCTTTTTGGCCCCCCTTTGTTTCTTGGTTGACTCCATGGAATTTGAAGGTTCTCGACAAACCCCAACTAATGAACTTCACTTGGGGGCCCTTTGGTGGATGTCATTTACGTGCTTGGCTTTACCCCATGCCTGCCAACGATTTCTGCGGCTGTGCACGACCTGAACTCCCAAACCCACTGTGCTGGACCATGCAAATGGCCGCCGTTCACCATTGGTTGGCTGTAGGTTGACCATTCACTTTCGCCAAGCGTGAGCATGGAATTGTCGAGTCCGCAGGCCCCGAGAAAAGAGCATGAATCTGTCTTGGCCTCAGTTTCAGCCCTCCCCAACAAGGGTACCCTCAAAAAACACACACACCCAACCCCCGAGCGGGCACCGCCTCGCCTCAGCAAAGCCGTGGGCCCCAGGCAACTTCAAAGCCTCCAGAAAGAGCTGGCCTCAGCGACTCAGCGAATCAGGGAATTCGGGGGAGCGAGTTGGCAGGGGCATGTTCTCGAGGCTGGGCCGAAAACGACCGACCCGCAAAATGCATGCCAGCTACATGAGTGTCTTTTACAATAGCGTCTTGACCACTGGCCTGTCCAAAACAGACTGTTGGCCAATCCCAATCCATCCCTCTTGGCAAAACCACCGCCTTTTCATAGCCCAAAATATGAGTTCAGGCTGGCCTCGCCCCAGCCTTGTGGGGGCGTCTTTGCTCCTTCTGCTTTGCTCCTTGGGGGTTTCCCCGACCCCCCCCCGTGACTGGCCACGGCCCCGAGCCCGGGAATCTGCGAATCGCAACTCCGAGGGGCGCAGCTGCCCTTGCAGCAGGCCTCGGAGGCCTTCGAGGCTTCCCTGGCGGGGATGCTCGGCCCATGGGCCATGTGGCATGGGTCAAAAAAAAACTGTGGATGGACAAAATCCGTTTCGCACCACCTCAGAAACCCTGGCTTCTGATGATTCCCCCTGTAAATGCCCAACAAACAATGGCTTCCCATGGATTCAAAGCGGTGCAGAATTTCGTCCATCCACAGTATGTACTCAAAATGGAAACCCTGATAAATGGAAACATGGACTAAACCTGTGGTCCCCATGGTGGTGTAATTTTGACCCATACCCACATGCCGTTTGTTTTTTTTGTTTTAACGAATTCTGTGGATGACATCTGACTAATACTGGTAGATGAACAACCTGTCAACTGGTGCAAAAGTGGATTCTGCCCCTACAGGGTGATTAAATGGACGTCCTTGACTGCCTCAATGATGGCTTGACGGGAACCCCCATGTGGCTCCTAAAGGAAAGTCTTATAATCCCTCAGCGTACAGACGCCAAAGCCCCCAATGCCAAGCCCCAGTTGAAAGGAACCTTCTGATTCAATGTGATCAAAGGCTCTCGAACCTTTTTTTGGGTAGGTGCAAATCTCGCTGAAATGATGGCTCAAAGTGAATTTCCAAAAATAGCTCCGAGAACCGTATGACCCCCAAACCAGACAAGCGGAATCCATGAGTGAGCTCGTTTCAGCCCAGAGCTCGCCACAATTTGTGCAAAGTCGCGGCATTCAGGAGAAAAGTCCTCATCCTGGGACCTCTATCAGCTTCCCTCGAATTAATTGGAGCAAATCCAAATCCAAACCACCAATCCAAACCAACTCAAGGGGTTCGAATCTGCAAACCACAAATCCAAACCAACTAAGGGTAGCCTGACTTACCTTCAATTCCAAACACCAATCCAAACCACCAACTAAGAGTTACCTGACTTTAAGCATACCGCCCAGAAACAGTCAGCACAGACACTCGACCGGCCACCGGGCTTGAGTTGGTTTGGTGCATCCGCCTCTGTCACGTGTCAACCGCAACGATGTCCACCACTCTTCTCCAGAACTTGCCCAAGCAGCCCGTAACTTCCTGAATGGATTGCTCAATAAAGAGAGGAAAAAACAAGACTTGTTGTCTGCCACGAAACTGGTCGAAAGCTCAACGGGTGTCACATGCAGATAACCCGCCCCCCCCCCCCCCTCCGATCCAGCCTCCACTTTCAGCAACTGCTGGATGAGACTCACGGAAGCCCTGCGCAAAGCGCCAAACACATTGTGAGTTTTCCTGAACTTGCTGCTGCGATTGGCAGGGAATGAGGGAATGACCCTTGTAAACCATCCCTTGTGGTTTCCTTTCAGGGAATCCCTGGGTTCATTCACCCCAGCAAGTGAATTTGTGTGCTGTCCGAAATTCAGTGTCTCCCTCCCACCAAACGTGGCACGCTCGTTTCAGTCTCCTACAAAAGCCTGCTCACCAACTAAGTCCATTAAATTGACATCCTCAAAGCACTCTCCAAATGGCCTAAGCGAAACGAAAACAAGGTATCCACAAGGCACTGCGGAATCACTCGCGTTCTCCCAGAGAGCCCCTCAGGACCCTATGTGTGCCATGGGCAGATCCTTTTTACTTCAAAGCTTGGTTGTCCAAAGCTTGTGTTCGAATGTTCACTAAAATCTCTACCAAGCCCAAGCAAAGGTTCGCCGTTGAGTCACAATCAAAACCGGAAAGGGCTCTACCTGAAGCCATGTAACAAATCAAAAGGGCCGCTGCCCGTATTTACAGCTCGGATTATCTCCGCAGGGAAATTCCAAATAAACTAACCAATCCTTCGAATAGAAAAGGATGTCACCCACAAAAAGTGAAGGAGTCCCACTAAACGGGGACACCCCCTAGTCATCAACCATGTCTTTTTCATCTGGGGTCAATACTAATCTTTATCTACTTGCTGGTTCTCAGCGGGAATGAGGGAATGACCCCCTACAAACCATCCCAAAAAAAACTTTCTCAGCACCAGCAAATCTGCCCTGATCTCCTCCAAGCCGGCGCATACCCTGGCTCGCCGGCGTCCGGCTTTGCCTCGGCGTTCGAGGGTGTCTCTCTCACGGGATTCGGCTCTTGCCCGGCGTCGGTTTCCCTTTGGCCTGGAGAAAAAAGACCCGCAAAGGGGGCCTTTTTTGGGGTCAATACTGTCAATACGAAAAAACAAACACACACACACAAAGACGAAAGAAGCAAAGAAGCAAAGAAGCAAACCCAACCAAACAGAGCCAACCAAACCCAACCAAACAGAGCCAACCAAACCCAACCCAACCCAACCCAACCCAACCCAACCCAACCCAACCCAACCCAACCCACCAAACAAACAAACAAACAAACAAGCAAGCAAGCAAGCAAGCAAAAAACAAACAAATAAATAAAATAAATAAACAAAACAACAAACAAACAAACAAACAAACAAACAACAAACACTGTAGCCATTTACTCACACTATGCCCGCCTCCAAAGCGCTACCCAGGATATCCAGCAGCTTCTCCGCCTTGGAAGATCCAGGATTATGTGAGCCATGCTCAAAATTCATTGTTTTCCTCAAGGGCATGGACAAAATTGGTGAGTCGCCCTAGCTGTTGTGCACCTTCAATTCGTCCGGCCCCATGTCCCAAGCGGACCAGAGATGCAAAACATGAGCGAACCACAGAGGAGCCCTTACCAGGATCACTGCCCTGCCCAGCAAAAACCAGACAAACAATTGCCCCGTGAAAAAATGCCTCAAGGGCATACCAACGCGGTGTCCTCTTTGATCACTAGGGAATGTCACTTTAAACAGATTCCCTGGGCGACTGGGAGAAAGAGGGACTCCCTAAAACCAATTTGCCACAACCAAGTTGCGCCAACCGATTTGTGTTAACAAAGAGGGAAAACCTGACAGTTGAAAAGGAGGGAACGGCGGTCTGTCAAAACTCAAAACCTGCTACCAGGGAAGCGACCCCTCAATGCATCAGGCACCATATGGGGGTGGATCAAAAGGTCCGCTACGTGGGACGACCATTGCGGAAAAGAGTTAACCATGATACTTCGTCAAACCTGGGGGCCCTAGATGGACTATTGATCAACGCCCACTAGGTCCTCCAGCAAAGAGGCTAGAATAAGGGTCCCATGTTTTCCTGTAGTCTATTCTAGGGGAATCCTCCCAAAAAAGAAAAGAAACAGCAAAAGGCCACTACTTCTGGGACCTAGCCCATATTCGGCACCGCTTTCAGCGGCCCGCGAATCGCGCGCCCCTCGCGCGCCAATCGCCCCCATCGCGCGCGCCTCCGGCAGGCGCGGCAGCTCGCCCGCCAGCGCGGCAGGCAGCGCCGCCAGCACGGGGCGCGGCAGCGTGACCTGAAGAAACCGGACGGATTCACCGAAGAACTCTTGGCTCAGCCCAATGGACCCAGGACTAGGTTCACCTTTTGGCACTTCTAAAAATGGACCAAACTGGGAAAACCAAACGGTCAAAAGGTTACCTTTGGACAACTGAGATTGGACAAACCGAATAACTTTTGGTCAAAATCACATACCAACAGACCTCAGAAATCTCTTTTATAACCGATATGACAATCGTAATTCGGCAGCAAAAGACCCTGACGCGAGCTCATTGGAATCTGCCCAGACCTAGTTATTACAGGGATGATTCAAAGGTATTTCCTTGATGGATCATGCTTGGATCTCCTGCTGGTTTTCTGTTCGTACCCCGAAGTTTTCCTGTGTTTGCAGAAAAGCCACATTGTTTTTGCCACCCCCTGCCCCCAGAAACCCCCCGACCCCAAAAAATGGGGAAGTTCGGGCCCCGTCCCCTGGTCTGCCACCTGCTCCAAGCTAACCCCGTCGCGCAAAGTCGAAAAGGGGGATGCAAGATGGAACCTTTTGAGAGCGGAGCGACTTCTAGGCTCGAGCAGCGAATTGCAAATGCGGCTTTGGGGCTGCCTAACTGAATCAAAGCTTGCAAAGTGCGACAGATTCTTTGCAGAGGGATCCAGCAATCATTCACTCGCACGACTTGCAGGCTGTCCCTTCAAAACAAGACCAAAAGCAAAAAGGATTCCGCATATCCCATCCACTGTTATGACTGCTAAGAAGAGGCTAACACCTTGGATAATCATCTTGCTGGGCAAACAAATCAACAAACAGACCCCAGACCCACACCGCCTGTGGCGGACTCGCCTCGCCCTCCGTCCTGGACGGTTGGACAGCTATGCTTCTTGCTTCAACACGGTCATCATGCTTACCCTCTTGAACGGGTGACCCTGTCCGAGAGCCCCTTTATTGGGGTGTGCTTCCCCTTCCGCAGTGCTGAGGAGGTAGGGATGTTACCTATACTTGCTGATTTGTTTTTGCGCTTCCCAGCATCGTCATGCGCCCCGGAGGGTGCATCCACCAGAAAGGCGGCATAGGCGCGTGAATTTGGACATTCGCCAAGCACGTTCGAGGGTGTTCGAAATTGAAACTCACGGCCACAGAAGCGGCGGGTGGGTCTGGTTCCCCAGCAAATAGCGGGGACGGGCCTTCGGGTGAGTGCATTTCAAACTGGTCAACCCAAGCTTCGGCTGGTGCCAAACTCCAGCGGCCATGGCAAAAAGAGGAGAAGAGGGGGCACTCTTTTGTTGGCCGAGGTTGAAGGGAACCCCCTCCAAAACCAAACGGGAACCAGATTTTGGCACCGGAGGTCTGGCGTGAGGGGTCCAAATCTGTGCCTCGTGTCGAGGTAGAGCAGCACCGGGTGCCAGCGCCAAGCCTCGTCGACCTCTCCAGTGGCTGAGGCGACCATACGGCCGCACAAAACTGCGCCCGAGGAATCAGCATCAAAACTTGGTGAGCGGTCCACCCAAAACCCAAAGCCACGTAACATGTGACAATGAAAAGACTTGGAAGGGCAGAGATACACGCCCATTCATCCTATGAATGGGAATTGCGACTACTGGCCTTTGTCCAACAATCATGGACGTGGGTTTCAAGCGGATGGCAGGCTTCCAAACAAAAGCATCCACTTCTAGCTGAAAAGAAGGTAACCTCCGTCCCTTTTGATTTGTGGCTCTATCTCCATTCAAAATTGCCCTCGCTGGCGGTGTCGATGAGCTTCCCACCCACAAGATCCCTTTCGAGAACCCTCGAAAAAAATATTCCCTCGCTTGAGTGGTGCCTTTGAAATGCTGTTTGCTTGTTGGCTCACTTCCCAAGTTGACTGGCCAAAAAAAGCTTGAACTTCTTATTTACCACTAAAATGGTCCAAGCCCAAAAAGTTTAAAGTCCACCAACTCAGGAAGTGAGTTGGAGGGATTCAAACTCAACGGCCAAAGCCCGTTCCGCTTGATGGTCCAAACTCGCCGATTCCAAGCTCGAGGCCACCGGTGCAGCGCTGCAGATCGCGAAGTACGCCTCTGCAGATCGCGAATGGACGTCTCCACGGGTCTGTCTTAAAACACGAAGAGAGGGACCTTAAAAGAGAGAAGAAAGGGAAATTTTCAGAGGAGACCAGCCATGACTCAAAGGTTCCAAACCCGCCATTTCTGCCATGAAAGAGAGATGAAAAGGACGCCCACCTGAAGGGCCTATGTTTGAGACACACCCATGTCGACTCCTGGTTGACCTCAGCGGTTTGTGGATTTTTCCATGCGATACGTCGCACAAATCTCTCCACACTCAAAATGTCTCAAGTCGGGCAAGGCTGAAGATCGCCTCACATATCATTCGGGAGGGTGTTGAGTGGGGATTCCTAGGCAATGAGACCCCTGGGTGCCCGTATTGCCGAACTCCGCCACGCGCAACGGAAGTCCTCAAACTTCCAGGGTGTTTGTGGGGTTTCCCCTCTAAATGTCACCCAAAAGAAACACACATGTGTTGTATTGGCATAGAAGGTGACTGTTTGAACCACCAAAAGGGAGAAACAAATGTAAGGACCCGTGACTTTCTGGCAGGCAACCCAGTCTCGCCAGGCCCGCGGCCCTCCAAGCCGCATCTGGTGAGCGAGAGAACCCTCCGCGAGCGTTGGACAGAGCCTGACAGGGGGCCGAAGGGGTGCCTCGTGAGGTGTGAGGTGTGCTTTGTGCTTGGGGTCAAGGTAGATCACTCTCAAGTCTGGAACCCAAGTGGCGGTTCCCGCCTCAAAACACCCGCAAGCAAGGAGTCACGCGAAAATCAAGGGTCAAGGTGCCCTTGTTCAGGTTTGCTGTCAGGAGAAACGAAAGGACAGCGCAGCGCCTCCAGTTTGCGACCCCAAATCGACCTCACGCTCAGCACCCGCACCTCGAGGATGTCTTGCAGAAGCGCCTCTGCTTTGCCCTCGGTCCAGGCACTCCTTGGAAAGACCTCGGTTGTAGGCGAAAAGAGCCACCAGCCTTCTAGCCACTTCAACGTGTCTTTCAATGAGAGTACCCTTCTAATTGGTGTTTCTAAATGGAAACCAAAAGGACAACCACGAATTTGTGGGGTGCTCCTAAAAAAAGATGAGCCACCCACTTGCCGGGCATGTCCCCTTTGGCATCTGGGGTCAATCCGGGGTTCACTCCGGGGCTGGCACTCGAACCAGCTCCTGAAACCGGGTCAGGAAGTCCGCCTGGCATTTGCTGGGCGTCAAGCCGCCGTATTCGTGGATCAGGTTGCCATGCTTGGAGATGTTTCTCGGAGTCTGGGAATATATATATATATATATATGTATATATGTCGATTCCTTGCTGCTAGGAAATGTACAGCATATGGTTTATGCAGCACACAGCTTCATAGGAGTCCTGGTTGGTTGTCCAGACTCCCTCCGAACAGGCTCAAGGCCATCCCTAGCAAGTGATTGAACCGATTGTCCGTGGCAGATGTGTCTGATTGTCCCCTCAAAGCTCCTTTAGTTACAGTCATGGCTCCCCTGAACTCTTCAAATGTTCTCAATTCCCTGGGCAGGGGTCTATGGCCATCCCTACTCACCCAAGTTACAGGGTGGTTGGATCAAGTCACCTGAATTGTCTGTCAACCAGTCACCAAACCTTGGAGCGGTGCACCTTCAAATCTGAGGCTTCCGCGCCTGTCTTGACCAAAAACAAACAAAAAAAGCATGTGGAAGAACAACCCGCAAAACCATCCATGCAGCCGAACAAAAAAAAAAAGAACAAAAGAGAGAAACGCCCCTCACTCTTTGCCCCAAACAGCTCCCCAACCGCCCGCGCCGCGTCGGCGGCGCCGCCGGCGCGGCGCAGCATCTGCTGCAGCTGGGGCCACAAGGACTTGGAGGCCACCAAACCTGCGGACTGGGGGCTACACCCGGCTCTCCAGGTCGTGTGTGAACAGGACTTGGAGCCCGTTCTGTGGAGAACCCTCACTTGCCGCTTGAAAGGACACCACAAACCAAACCAAGGGTTTCCTCATTTACCGGTCTTAAGGACACCACAAACCAAAGTGGAGAACCCTCACTTGCCGGTTTTAAGGACGCCAAAAACCAAAGTGGGCTTCCTCATGGCCGGTTTAAAGGACACCAAAAAATGGTACCATCAAACACACATGCCCTTGTGGGGTCCTTCAAAGGGATCAAAGCCCTTCGTGATCCTCCACTGAGAACCAGCAAAGTAAATACGGGGCCCCCAATCAACTATTGCTCTGTGGAAAGCATATTCAAAGGATGCATTCATTGATAGACACTAACTTAGCACCTGTGGAAAGTTCGTATGTGGACAGTTAGATCTGCGCTTTCAGCACTCGTTTAGAACTTTACCCAACCTTATTCCGACGCGTGTTTCCATGTTTGGATCTTTCTCCATGGGTTTACATGTTTTCCCGTGGTGACTAATCCCGTACTAAGTATCCTGCCTAATGCCCTAGATGTCTTATAACCATGGCTCGTGCCCTATTCCAAGTAAACCAAACCCACGGCAGCTTCTCAGAATGGTGTTTTTGTTTGCAACCCTTCTAAAGAATCAAAAGAGAAGGCGCAACCTTTGACTAGTTGGGTACAGCAGCCCTCTTTTTGAGGTTCGAAAGCCGAGGCCGCCTTGCGGCAACCCAAGCGGAAGTCCATGTTGGGAGTTCGCGCCTCCTCTAAAACACCCCTGCTAGGAAACTGGGAAGTGATGAGTACCAGAGGAGCAGCGGAACCTGACTGACATCCTTGAAACGCTCCATCCGGTGGCTTTCATCTAGCTGGCCACCGGGCAACGGACAAGCGAGGCCCCGATGCGCATGCGCATGCGCGCGCACACCCGGCCTTCCCAGCAGTCCGGCGCCCCGGCCGCCGCAAAGTGCTGCACCAGCGCAATGGCGCTGGAGGGCGGCAACGCGTCGTCGGCCATGGCCTCCACTCCCGGCTGATTCGGACAGAACTTCCCCCTTTCCCTTTCCTGGCGTCTTTGCTTCCTGGCGTCTTTCCCTTCTGGCGTCTTTGCTTCCATATCCCACTTGGACAAACCCAACTCCGGGACCAATCTTAGCTGACACCCCCACTTCAACCCTTTCACCACCCAATGCTTCAGCGAATCAGCTTGCCATGGCGCATTCAGCGCCGCTGAGCGGGTGGACACCGTCGCGCAGCCCAACCTCGCGGAAGTTCGACCCCAGCCCCGAGATCCGAGATGCCCGCTTGCTGCAGCTGAAAAGGGATTCCTGCAACCTGCGAAACCGGGCACCGTCTGGAACCCATCTGTTAGCAGCCCTTCGGGTCCCCTGAGGCTGCTCCAATTCCATGCAGAGAGCCCTCGCACGTCGAAGCGTCGAAGCATCGAAGCACCGAGCCCAGGCTTGCGAGGCTTTGCAATTCAGCCATCAAAGCCGAGGGACAGGGGGCAACTTTCCCACCTGAGCCATCAAAACCAAGAGCCGAAAATGAGAAAGAGGCTCTTTCTTGGTCCTTCACATTGGGTCGCAAACAGGAATCTCAGCACGGCGACGCTGAGAGGCACACCCCAGCTCCGAATCGCAACGAAGAATCCGCACCAAGCATTGCACCTTGCACGCTGTGCCGATTGTGCCAGGTGTTGCATCTGCATCGCAGGCCAAAATGGCCTTGGACACTTTGCCCGCTTTTGGCTCAAATACAAGATGGCTTGCCCACCAAACTGAAACCCTGCTTTCCCTTGGCTTCCCTTTTCAACGACCCCTAAAGCGGGTGCCAACTCCAAGCAAAGCCGCACACCCAGACCAGAGCTTCCTCCCACATTTCGATTTGGCCCCCCGCAGCAGCTCGCCGAACGGGTATCGGCCTCGGGCGCCGGAGGTGTTCGTTTGGGGTCCAAATGAAACTTGGATTCACATTGGGGTCCCTGTTGGGCAAAATGTCCCTTCCTCCTTGGCTCCCTTTCGGGATCTTCGTTGCTTGCCGCGTAGCCACTAACACTGAGCCCCTGTGGTCCTTTGTTGGTTTCACTGTGACCAAAAAAGCCATTTCAATCATGGCCCTAATCGTACCGTGATACTCAGCAAGTGTGTTTTTTAACCATGATCATAACCCACTGAATGGGGGTCTTATTGCGATGGCAAGTGGGTTGTCTATCAGTGGGCTATGACCTCTGGCTGCCAAGCACTTACCCTCCCAAACCCTTGGGTATTTGGGCAAAAAGCTTTGTTCTTCACAGCCCCCCCCCCCTCCCCACTAAACACCAGCAGAAAAACAATCAAAACAACATGTGTTGTTTTTACTTCAGTTTTTACTAGACCAAAAAAACACGGGGGGAAAAAATGAAAAACACACACACAAAAAAAAAAGGAACCGCGAAGTGACCTCACCATGCGCTCCTTTTGTTCCAAGCCCCCGACTGCTTGGAGGCGAGCCGCGGCCACACGGCACACGCGCTGCCAGCCTTGCCCAGCGAGGTGCCCGGGTTGGTTCGTGCGGGGGGATGGTCGCCGAGCAGCGGTGTCCTTTTTGGGAAAATACATGGCGCCTGGTAGTTGATTGAACCACCAGGTAAACCAGGAATCGCCCTCTATGTTTCAACCGAATTAACCAAAAAGGACACCGAGATGCTACCCCGAGTCGGGATGGAAACAGCCATGGCTGACAAACTCACCAGCCACCGACCGCGTACCCCACCCCACGGCCGACACCCTCGCATCTTGAAACACAAGGGCAGTCAAAGCAAAGGGAGCGAGGGAAAAACCAAGCTCAATCAACGCACCCAGCGCCAAGGAGCTTTGCTTCGCAAACCAAGGGGACCTTTGCCTCAAGCTCGCAAGACGGCCAAAACTGGGCAGGGGGCCAAGGGGGGGCAGCGGGCCAAGGGGGGGCATCAAGCCCGCAGCAAGACGGAAAAAAAAGCCTGGGGCGGGCCAAGGGGGGGGTGGTGAGGGGTTGCGTCGCCAGGGCCCTGGGGGTCAGCCTCGAAAAAAGGCTGCAGCTGCGAGCTGCTCATGGCCTTCGGAGCACCTGGCGAACGTGAGACCTCTTCAGTTCATCTGCTGCGTTGCTTTTCTTGTTTCGTTTAAAAGGCAAAGACAAATGTGCTGTTAATCCTTTTGTTGTTTTAAGATGTTTGTTGTTTGTTGCATTAAGAAAACCACAAACACATATTGGGTCGTTGCATCGATCCTTTTTCTTAATAAAGACCCGATGTTTGCAGTGGCTCAAGGAGCTGCGCACTGCGCGGGGGTGTCTTTTTGGCATGCGCAAGGGCACATGACGTCAAACATGGCCAAAGGCGTGGAAAGGCATCTCCGGAATGCAAAATCCAAGTGATGCCATTCCAGACATTGGCTCATCTGCATGGACTTTGCACATGCGGGCATCGTGCTAACTGCTGTGAGCAGAGCAATTTTCGCAGGTGGTTCTTGCTCAATACCATGACTTCTGGAAAACAACAGCATGGTCCGTCTCAAATGGGGAATGGCAAGCCTTCCACCGGCATTGCGCGATACATTTCAAATGCCGCCATTCTCTGCAGCAAGGCACGCCCGGGCGAGCGTGAGCACGCGAGCGCGCGCCGCAGCCAGTTCAGGCTGCCCGCGCAACCAAGAACCTGGCAGGGCTGCTTGGGTTGACTTAACAACGCCTTCATGGCTAACGTCAAACTGCTGGGAATTCTAGGCCGAGGTGTCCTTTTGGAAGAATCGGTGGCATTGGTTTGAATCAAGCTGAGATTGTCAACCAAACTGAACCGAAAGGACACCTGTATGGGTTGGGTAGAGGTGGTATCACAGGATACAAGTCATGCTCTTTTGTCTGAAACGGGGAATGCGCCTCCCCCCCCTGGCCACGACTCAATCGTCCGCCATATAGCGTGGACAGAAACCTATTCTACATACATACTATATGTAAGTACATGTGCGTCTGTGTCAAACTTGCCGAGGGGCTTGGCAGTCAACAGCATCTCCACCAAGACTCTGCCTTGGTAAACACTTGCAAATGATGGCAATGCCGTGTGGGTGCGTTCAAGATCCACACCTAGAGACAGGGTTTATCCAAGTGTGCTCTGGGTCCATTGAAGTGACACCAAAATGACCAGCCAAATGGGTGTGTGGCTTTCTAGGGAACCCCCAAAAGTGTGGTTTTCCTGTTGGTTTCCCAAAAAAAGACAGCGCCCTGTGGTGGCTGGAAGATCAACCCGCGAGAACCCCCGAGAACGCCAAGTGATTGAGTGCCTGGCAGCTCAGAAACGGCTGGAACTCGTTCCCGGCATCTGGACGCTCAGGGTCTTGTCCCCTAAACTCATGGAAACGCTCCTCGTCATAGAAGACGAGGTGAGCGTTTGCCATGTTGTCCTGCAAAGGTTGGCTCCCGCAATGGACGTGGGAGAACAGGCGCTAGTCCTGGTGTATTTAGTGAGACTCCTCACCGGATATTTTTTGACGGAAGCTCACTGCTCGCAATGCTCTGCTATTGATTCCCCAACAAGACCCCCCAGAATTTGCGCTGGCTTCTGGTTGACTGATTTGCAAAAAAAATGGAGTCAATCGTATCCCATCACGGCAGGGCCGCCTCCCAAGAAAACTCCTGCTGGTTCGTCTGTTTGCGGCAGGCCCGCTATTTCCCTCGGGAGTATGCCCCTTCCCCTTTGTTCCGCAAAGGCACCTGCGCCCACTTGAAGATGCAGTCACGGTTGATCAAACGGTCGGCATCAGCAGATTGGTTGTTGATGTCGGCCAGTAAGGTCTGCAGCCACTCTGTCACACACATCTCCTGGTGCGTGGGCGTGTCGTTCTTTTGACGGTCCCCGTATCTCAATCGCAGCCAACCCCTGATGCAGGGTTGGAAGACCCCACTTTCTGCACCAATTTTCGGGCAACCCCAACTCCTGCTGCAAATCCTTGAGCAAATGCTTCTCCTTCCTCCTCAGCGTGTTCTTGATCTCCATTGTCACCTGAACAGGCGAGTGGTGGATGGCCATAGTTATAACCCATGTAGGGGAAACAGCCAAGAGAATCCCCAGTAGCCAGCAGTAACCGGAATCCCACTTGGGTATCACGGAAGAGGGGAGGTCCCACAATGCTTTCCGAAGCAAGAAATCATGGGGGGTAGTACCATTGAACGGCTGTGAGTTCCTTTGAGCGAGCGGAGTTGGTGTTGAAATGGGATATTCATACACCCAAAAATAAGGAGCTGTCTTTTTGGCTTCTCTCTAAAATCTAGAACAATCACCAAAAGTGTCCCAGCCACAAAATGAGCCACACCCATGCGGGAAGGTGTTTGGAGTTGGTGGGCGGTGAAAGGCAAACCAAAGGTCTTCCGAAGAACATGTTGAGGGCTCCATATCCTATTCAGAGAGCCACTACCAGTCAACAGGGTTTTGTCTGTTCCCATAAACATCACCCCGAAACAAACTCACTGAACATGGCCCCCGAAGCTGATGTTCAAACCAATCCCAAGTTGTTTTCCTCCGTAGCGGTCCGGTGGAACCAGAAACTCTTTCAGAACATGGCCCCAAAGCGTGATGCCCAGACCAACGGGAACACGCCAAGAACGACACCGTTCCGACCGCCCAAAAAAAGGAACCACGCCCTAGCACATGGCACCAAACACTTGTGGATGTTCAGGGTTTCCGTCTTCCGAGTCACTGGGCGATTTCGCTCTAAAGATTCAGATACAGGAAAATCTTCAGACTTGTGGGCAAATCGCCCTTTCTGTGACACCAAGGCTGTTGCTTCGCAAAGCTCAATTAAAAGGCAATCCTATTGGAATCACGGCAACTGGCAACCTCAAATTGACCACCATCTCCCGCAAGCCTCAGTGGAATCTTGGATGGGTGGCTCAAAATGTTCAAGACCCAGGGCAAACCGCAAACATGTTCGTCTTTGTGTCCATTCAAGAAGCAACACTTTGGGGATGCCAAAAAGATGTGCCACAGATTCCCAGAGTTTTCCCCCATGGATGCTGGTGGTTCATTTTTGCAGGCTTCCACTTTTTGACTACCCCAAGTTAGGCTTAAACGCAGGGGTTCTCCTTTTGGGGGTCCATGAACCACCCCTGGATTTAAGTCTACTCTCGCTCCCTTGGCCCCCTCCTGCGAAAGGAACCGGTCGTTCTTGGCCGCGGCCATGCCATCCAGCCCGAAGTCGTGGCCCACGGAGACCACGTAGCCGCTGAGCAGATGCGGGCGCTGCTGCCAGGGCTGCACCTCTCGGAAACTGCAGGGTGATGGGGAGCCAAAATGCGTGGTTGCTGTTGACCGCCCTGCAAAAAGTTAGTGGAAAACGCCTTGGTTTCCCATTCATTCATATGTTTCTTCTCAACACACCTCTTCAGACCTTTCTTTTGCTGAGTGATTCCAGTGGGAGCACCAGATTCCCGCTTGGTGCAGCATTTGGAATGGGGTGATGGGAAGCCAAAATGGGCACAAACCATTGTGGAAAAATAGAGAGATCTGGGTATACATTTTAATTAGGGACCCTTTGGGAGTTCCCCAGTAAATTTCATAGCCATCTCGATTCCGCTCAAGTTTGTTGCACCTGTTGGGGTGTTGCTCTTGGGGGAGGCTCCTGTTCAGATCTTGGAAAACCAATCCGTAGAGTGTACATTCAACACCCATGCCGCCAAACAGACCGCCGCCAGCCTGAAGAGCAGCACGAAGCGAGCTCCCGCTAGTAGTTATTAAGAGACAGAGCCAATTTGGTCGAATGCCCAGCAAATTGAGCACTAACCTTTAGGATCTTTAGGCACCTGACCCCATCGAATGGTATTGGACACTTCAGGTAAAGCTGTGTGACCGATGGCTTTCGGATAGGAAACTTGCAGCTTCAGCAGTTCGAAACCGCGAGGAACCCCAACCATCCGTTTCGGCCGACCAGCCACGCTCGCCGCGCTCCGGCCTGCGTGTGGTCCAGGTCACAGTTGGGGTGCCGGCGCGTGATGAAGCGGTTTAATGCCGCCTCCTGTTACCGCCCAAGCGGAGTTTTCCGATTTCATTTGGTTTGCCTTAAAACAAACAAAAGGGGGTTGACAAAATTCGTGCAAAGCCTCCAGTTTTGACTTCCGTACGAGGACCCCTCACAATGGTTTGTCGAAATGCCCTACCATGACCTTGGTGCAAATGAGTTTGCAGCCAACTATGCTGGTTTCCTTGCGGGTTCTTTCCAAGCCAACCGCAAAAAAAGGACTCAATCAGTGCTTTTGGATCTACCCAAAAAACCATCCTGAAGGATTTTCAGCTTCCTTGCAGTCTCCCTGAGAAGAAAACCCGCGGGTTTCCCTCCAAGGCCACCCGGAAATGGGTTCGGGACCCCAGCCTTGAGCCGCACCAGGGAGTACTTCAGCTGCCACTCCAAGGTCTCGTTCTGGGACGTGAGGTCGCCGTAGATCCGCAAAATCTCGCGCGCCTGCACCTCATAAGGGCCGACTACTTGGCGGTTCATTTTGGAGCCTGCGATGCTTGTTAAGAAACGTTGGGGCCAGTTTTGGTGTTACGGGAGACCAAAAGCAAATTGAAAGCCGCAGAACAAGATTGCAGAGAGAAGACAAGTGTTTCTTGGGTTGGCTTGCCCCGACGAAAGAGAACACCGAGATCCCATGCTTGGGGTGTAAGAAGAGACCAAAACTTCAACGGCAGCCCAATAGACTGGTGCTTTGAAACCGCCCCTCACTTCCGGAGTGCAGTGGCCAAGACAAGTCTGATCTGTTTGTTTGACCACTAAAATTGTCCAACCCAGAAAATATATAAGTCCAACTCGTGAAGTGTCCCGATCCCCTAAAACATGAGCCTTGTTTGTAGCTTTCAGTTTGTCCAGGAATGCCCTACTGTGGCTGGACGAGTTCTTGCACCACTGGGATAGATGAACCCCTGTAAGTAATGGGATAAACCAGCTACCAACTGGGCGCAGGATTTCATCCATAGTTCTGTTGACCCCATATGAAACAACGGGGCGTGTCCCTGGGTTTAAATGGGGAATCAGATCGCTTTTGGCCTATGAAATTAAACCTGCAGTCGGCAACCTCTG